CTCAGCGTCGTAATTTGCCACATTCTTGCCTTCCTTAGGGCTCCTGGGCCTGATCCAAAGCCCATGGGAAGCTTCTCAGTGAATGAGTTCACTAGATAGAATGTCTTTGAATGCCAGTCCTAAAGGTTTCCAAACATTTTCTGTTCTAATCTTCTATTTTTCACCTGCTTACCCAGAGCTGGTGTAACTGCCACCAGGTGGATTTGAACCTGGGACCTCGGGAGCTGAGTATAGGAGTATAGGAGCTGAGTATAGGACCTTCTGAGCTAAAAGCCAGCTGGCTCCCAGCCTATGCTGTAGCGGTCTCTTGGTCTTAACTGTTGTCTAGGTACCACTTGCATTACTCAGTAATCACACTAGAGCTATGTCTACACTCACGGCTTCTTGCGCGAGTAATATGCAAATAAGGCTAAGCGTGGAATATCGCCGAGCCTCATTTGCATACCTAATGAGCCACCGTTTTTTTCAGAAGAGGCTCTTGCGCAAGAAGGAGCAGCTACACTGCCCCTTCTTGCGCAAGAAGAACCCTCTTGCGCAATGCCGTTACACCTATAACTTTTCAGGAAGAACGGCATTGCGCAAGAGGGTTTTTCTTGCTCAAGAAAGGGCAGTGTAGACGTTCCTTCTTGCGCAAGAGCCTCTTCCGCAAAATGGCGGCTCATTATGCAAATGAGGCTCGGCGATATTCCACGCTTAGCCTCATTTGCATATTTCTGCCGCAAGATCGCGCCAGTGTAGACAAAGCTTTGGTGTGTGGGTTACATTGGCAAGGTCAGATTTTTGAGGGAAGCATTGTCCAGAATGAAAAGTGTTACGTCGGTTGCATTCATCGCTGGTCAGTAACATGCCTGATTAAGAATAAAATAAATCGCAGTGCACTTCCAAGAGAATTCTGCATGCGGTAATTGATCATTCTTTCAATCCGTTACTCCATACTCGTAATCTCATTACACTGGAAGCGACGGTAAGAGGTAATCACAGCATATGTAGTGTTAAATCGTAAAACATTTTCAGACCTGCATGTATGGCTCCATAGCGCATAACAGGCTACTGCGACTCACTTGCTTTGAGGATGCACAACGAATCGTGGCTCCTCCCAACAAATTAATTAATTGATTGTGAATCTGTTCTTCAGGTGACTGTTGAAAACACTAGCAATTCTTTCCACTTTCTCTATCAGGCATCGCAAATGTGGCCTGATCATTAGTCTAATCAGTCTGTGGACTTTGGCGCCTGCAGTTTTATTTGTGCAATTGCAGGCATGATTACTGGCGGCAGAGCTGCATCAATTAGTGTGTGTAGTGTACATGGGTTTAAAGGCTGATCCGCTGCAGCCTGTGGCATCCCTGGGAACGTGCGCTGTGTAACTGACCAGGGGTGAAATTCACCTGTGATGTGCCTCCGCAGCATTGGGAGGTGCAGCTGGGAGAGACTCCATGGCCCAGGCACTGCAGGAGGGTGCCCACAACTAGGTATGCATGCCAAGGAGGTTAGGATGTGGACATGCTGTCTAGGAGCCGCAGAAGAGCAGCTTCCGGCATTGCAATCTGCAAGGTGAAAATTGGCTCGAGAGCGATTGTGTTGCTGTTTTAGGACGGCCGCTCCCAGCATCTGCTAAGCAACCTTCACAAAACCCAGCCACTGGGGGGAGGACTTCCTGTGTGAGAAGTGAATTTCACCCCCACATGATTAACGGCACATTGCCGATTGCAAGAATACTGCTCAATCTTCTCTCAGCCGGAGAGGGAGAGGCAGGGTTAATGGCCATAGCTGGGAATGAAGGGGCTTGATTGGCTGTACCATGCTGCCTTCAAAGCACGAGCAATCAGGAGAAAAGCCTTTGCAAACAGAACCACTGAGTCACGTTCGCTCTGCTGCTCAGGATCTTAATAATTGTTGATGTGTGTTCCGAAGGCGGACGCATCTTCCTGCAAAGAGCGAGGCATCCCAAAGGTGTCACGGGTTTTAGCAAAGATTAATATTTGTCCATAACTCATACCAGAAAGCGCTGTGGTTTCCTTTGGTTGAGTCTCCTTTGGTTTGAAAAGTTGCCGCCATCCGGTCCAAGGGCAGGTGTAGCTGACAAACCCCTTGGACAACATAGGGGGAGCAGTCCAGAGGAAGCGTGTCATGCCATGAGGGCAGGTGACTGGACTCGATGACCTCTTGAGGTCCCTTCCAGTCCTGGTATTCTATGATTCTATGCTATGGGCTGAGAATGTTGGCCAGTGTATGTGGCCAATACAGACCAGCAGAGAAAACATCTGGGGACAGAAACAGATTGATTCAGCGAATGATTGGTGAACGGAAAGAGGAACTAAGTGTGTGCCTGGGCTACTGGCAGTGAACAGGTGGGCCAGCTCTGCCGACGGGCACTTGAAATGCCAGGCGCTTGGAAAAGGTGGGTGATGTGAGGTTCACAGCGCTGGTGGTGTCACTACTATTCAGTCGGTGCACTGCGTGAGGGTCTGTCCCCCTTGTGGAGCTGTAGTAAGGTCAGTGGAGAACGTGGGGGATGAACTGGGCTCCCGTCACTGTCTTGCTCCCCGAGTTACCTAAAGATCATAGATTTATCAAATCCGAGGGCTGGCAGAGACCTCAGAGTCATCGAGTCCAGCCCCCCGCCCAAAGCAGGACCAACCCAACTCAATCATCCCAGCCAGGGCTTTGTCAAGCCAGAACCTAAAAACCTCCAGGGATGGAGATTCCACCCCTCCCTATGGAACCCATCCCAGTGCTTCCCACCCTTCTAGTAAAATCGTTTTTCCTAATATCCTACCTAGACCTCCCCCACTGCAACTGGAGCCCATTGCGCCTCGTTCTGCCATCTGCCCCCACTGAGAACAGCCTTTCTCCATCCTCTGTGGAACCCTCTTCTTGTAGCTGAAGGCTGCTCTCAAATCCCCCCTCGCTCTTCTCTACTGCAGACTAAACAAACCCAGATCCCTCTGCCTCTCCTCCTAGGTCATGTGCTCCAGCCCCCTTGTTGTTCTTGTTGCCCTCCGCTGGACCCTCTCCAATGTGTCCACTGGAGTGGGGGGCCCAGAACTGGAGGCAATATTCCACATGTGGCCTTACCAGCGCTGAATAAAAGAGAATAATCACTTCCCTTGATCTGCTGGCAACCCTTCTCCTAATGCAGCCCACTGTGCCGTTAGCCTTCTTGGGCCCACTGTTGACTCATCTCCAGCTTCTCATGCACTTCGGTTAGGTTAATCCCTGGGTCCTTTTCTGCTGTGACGATGTTGCTTGCTATGAATTCACCCGGCTGGAGGCTGGGGCTGAGTAGAGGCTGTGGGCTGTATGCTCGTCCTATAGAAGCCACGCACCTGGCATTGCTGGCGGGGGTGCCACAGTGCCAGCTCTTTTCTCAGTGCTGGTGTAGGGATTGCGGTGACTTTCCTGCCTTTGCGTCACTGGGAGGAGAGATCCCTGGGATGCCACAGCTGCCCTGTACCCCGGGATCTGCTCTGTGGCGATTGTGCGGAACATAACGTGGCAAGGACAAGGGAGCCGTAGGAGTCTGTTGTCCAGATGTAGACATTCCTCCCCAGGATTTTCATGACATGACTGAGGTCAGCTTGTGTAAGACGGACCAGATTTCCACCCAGGCTCAGGTCTCATCCTCATGGAAATCGCGATCGAATCTCCTCTTCCAACCCCTCTCCTTGCCCAAATCCCCCCCTTCCTCGCCCCCCACACACTCCATTTCCATCATTGACAAACCTACAGCCAGCTGAGCTTTGGGTGCTGCCGAGGGTTCCCTTCATATCACCTCACTCTTGGTTGCTATATAAGCCCAGTAACTGTAGGAGGGGATCTGTGGGGGGTGGTGCGTTTATCTCCCAAGATGTGTTATCCCAAGGGAATTCACTGTGTCCCACTGGACAAACACCAGCATGTGGCGACCAATGTTCCCTGCAAGCTAGGTGCTCACGCAGCTGCTCAGGAGAGATCCAAATGCTGCCCAGCTGATTAGCAGAGCGCCCCCCAGGCAGCAGTGTGCGTTTCTAGCAGTGGTGCACATTGCTGCATGCCTCAGCACACAGAACAACATTATTCTGCACATGGGTGGAAAAAATTAGAAGGAACATTGGTGGTGACCCCGATCTGTATCAGTGGTACTCCTCACCAGAACAATAGTCCAGAAACAGAGTTAGACAGTTTGTTTGAGCTCTTTCCCCAGACACTGGGCTTGCTGGGTCTGATTCTCCACCCACTTGAATTATGGGTATCATGAGACTCCTCACATGCACCAGAGCAAGATGAAGTGGAGAGAGAGGATGATGTGGAGAGACAGCCAGGTGAAGTGGGGAGACAGCCAGGTGAAGTGGAGAGACAGGATGATATGGAGAGACAGCCAGGTGAAGTGGAGAGACAGGATGATATGGAGAGACAGCCAGGTGAAGTGGAGAGACAGGATGATATGGAGAGACAGCCAGGTGAAGTGGAGAGACAGGATGATATGGAGAGACAGCCAGGTGAAGTGGAGAGACAGGATGATATGGAGAGACAGCCAGGTGAAGTGGAGAGACAGTTGTCCCCTCCCTGTATCAGGCCACTGTGTGTGGGGCTGGTGTTACCTGAGTGGAAGAGGGAGGGATTGGAGCAAAGCCGGCATGTTGGGGATGTGCCTGTTGTGCCACTAGAGTGGCTCAGAGGATCCCCCTAGGCTGAGCACCTGTCCCGGAGTTTGGTGGCCATTATTTGTATCGCGGTAGCATGTCAGAGTCAGTGTTAGGCACCGTGTGCTGTACATCAAAGGAGTGACTCCTGTTTCCATCTGGTGGAAGCTAGAGGAGACTCCATCATGCTGTCTCCCTCCATCTCCAGCAATCCAAGTGAAGCAGGGATGACAAGGCTTCCAAACAATGGTCTTCTCCCCCAACGCCATCTTTTCCTTTGGCTCGCCGCAGGGCTGCCATCCACACAGCTGCCAGCTGAGAGCACCTTGCTTATACTTTACTGTGGTCTAATACAGAATGTTTTCCCCCCTCTAGAAAAAGGAGCCGGTGGCGCTGGCCAAGAAAGCCAACAATACCTACAACATCGTGGGCACCACATATGCCCTCAACATCGCCAAGGACCCCGGCCTGCCCACCATCTCCAAGAGTGCCACCGGCACTGCCACGGCCACGGCCACCGTGCCCCCCAAGGTGCCCCGTGTGGAGGAGAAGCCGCCGGAAAGCAAGAAGACCTATAACAGCGTCAGCAAGGTGGACAAGATGTCGCGCATTGTCTTTCCGGTCCTCTTCGCCATTTTCAACCTGGTCTACTGGGCCACGTATGTAAACCGGGAGTCGGCCATCAAAGGCATGATCCCCAAACAATAACCCAGCCACACAAACCTGCCATCCGCGAGCGCCATCCAGGCTGGAATTTGCTGGGGTTTTCTTCTTCTTCTGCCTTTGGTTTATGAAGTTGATCATATTAATTTGACCTAGTATGATGATGATTTGAATATTTTTCACGTGAACAAAACTGTGATATTTATTTAACCCCCTCTTGGTTTATTTTAGTTTTATTTTTTGTTGGTGATGATGCAAAATGATCAGAAAAAAAAGTGTGCCTCTAGCATCGTGGGTCTGATGTCCCTCCTCGTCCCCCCATGTCTCTCCACCTCCAGTCCCTGTGAAATGAAAGCTGCTTGCATGCTGTTTTCATTCCATGCTAAGCTTTGCTGAGGCTGGCTGGGGTGTTTTTTCCACCTCGGTCCCACCCTGTGATTGGCTGCCCTGGGTTTTGTGGATCCCTGTTGCTCAGATGCTTCTGGGCAGATAGGTTCAAGGATGCAGGGACCTCTGGGGACCTCCTGCCAGTCGGACGGACTGACTGTGTTATTCTTGGCAGTAACTTTATTCTTAGAGCAGCACTGGGTGGGTGAGTGGTTCTAGACTCTGGGAGCTAATTAGTGTCCACTTCTCCATCCTTCCCCAACCATCCGCCTTCCCACTTCTTTCCCTCAGAACCAAGCACCCCCAGCAGATTATCCTCTTCCACTGTCGTCCTCCCACCCTCTCCGACTGGCCGTGGGCTGTTCCTGAGCCCACTGGGCACCTCATGTGGCGCTTGCCATCGGAGGAAGACCCATTCAGCGTCCTCAGGGTGAATCAGGGAGTAAAGGAGCAGAGACACCAGGAGCAGAGGAGAGGTTTCTAAGCCTTGCAAAGTTGCAGGCCGGAAGGGAAGGTGCGGACTGTGGTGCCTATCTCCTTGCTCCACCTCCTCCTCAACTTTTCCCCTCCCTACTCCCGTTCTTCCCAAATCATCCGTTCTCCTACCACCCCCAGCCACAAGCTTTTCCCAGTCTCCTGTCTGAGGGTGGAACGGGACCAGTGCGGGGTCTGGAACCGGGCAGCGCTGTAGGATTAGCAGCAGCGTGGCATAGAGAGATGCAAATGGAGCCCAGCCCGGCCGTCTCATTCACTAGCCTGCCCCTGGCTGTTGCCAGCCCCAGAGAAACGTGCCAGAGCCCCAAGGCAGGCAGATAGGGGATACTCTGAGATCCCCGGGCTTGCTCAGGAGGGAGTGAGGAGCTCACAGGCCCAGACTGCACCTTGCGTTTCCACAGGGCCCGTCACCCCAGAGAGCCGACGCAGCTCCCAGCCGCGGAGTGACTCTGGGGCAAGGCACAGTGGCTGCGTCACTTCCCAGCAGTGCCGAGCAGTGATTTAGGGAAGGTTTAGGGCCTTCGGGTGTTGGAGTTTGCCAGGAGGGAGGGATTAACGCCACCACTTTTGCAACCCCACCTCCTGGAATGCTACTGGGTCCCAACACCATTGCTGTCACGAACCCCCATGTTCCACACACCAGCCGCTCTCACCCCCCGGCTGCCAACTCCCGACTCCCAACGCTGGAGGGGCCAACTGGCAACCGGCTCTTTCCTGGCCACCAAGGCCAGTCCTTTGCCAAGGGCCAGCTGGCTGTTTTGGACAGTGCCTCCAGGCCATTTTCTTAACGAACCGAGACAGCGTGTGTGCACCAAAGCAGTCATGTCGCCATCCCGGGGAGGGCTGAGTGAGTGACATAGAAACCCTCCGCAAGCAAACTCAATATCATGGTGACTAACGAATATCAGGGGTTTGCACATGGTACGCGGTCGAATGCAGGCTTAAACGTGGGCCCTACAGCGTCACAGAGGCCTCGGCAGTCACATGCAGTGTGCTCCAACTGCTCACGTGAGGTCGGCCCCTTCCGCCGTTAAGCCTTGGTCCAGTGTCTCACGGGACACATTCTTGCTGCCGACTGTCCGGCTGCCTGGCAGAGTTCTTTGATGGCTCTTTATTATAACTCTTGCTCAATTACTTACAAGGCCAATTACTTTCATCCTAGGTGAAACCAGCCACAAACTTCCAGCTGCTCGCATTAGCCATTCACTTCTCCCCTCTCCCTACTTGGGAAACTGATTCCCAAGGGATATGTGCTGCCTTCTGAGTCATCCTGGCCACAGCTAGTCCCTGCAACTCTGTAGCGGCATGTGGGCCAGGCCCAAGCCTTAGGTAAGGTAATGAAGGGGCGAGGCCTTCACTGTGGTCTGAGGGTGTGTCGAGACTACACCTCTCTGTCGACAAAGAGATGTAGATTAGGCACATCGAAATTGCTAATGAAGCTGGGATTTAAATATCTCACACTTTATTAGCATAAACATGGCCGCCGCTTTTTCCAAAATGGAGTTTTTTTGGAAAAAAACAGCAGTCTAGATGCGGGTTTGTCGAAAATAAACCTTTTTTCGACAGATCCCGTCTTCCTCAAAAAACGAGGTTTACAGGATCTGTCGAAAAAGGGTTTATTTTCGACAGAGCCACATCTAGACTGCCATTTTTTTTTGAAAAAGCTCCATTTAGAAAAGGGGCGGCCATGTTTATGCTAATGAAGCATGGGATGTTTAAATCCCTGCTTCATTAGCAATTTCAACGTAGCAATCTAGACGTAGCCTGAGTGTCAGAGCGTGTTTTCTTAAGCTAACTTTTGTCAACCCTGGGCTGTAGGGGAAGAGCCAACCCTGCCCCTGGAGCCAAGCCCCACCTACCCCCCAGCCCGATCCTTCCTGGCCACCTGGGAACCGGGTTGCTGCACTGTGACCCCAGCATTCCCAAGCAGCTAGAGTGTTTAGTCAGTTTTGGGAAGGTTGTTCCTTCCCTTGCCTGCATTCCCAGCTGCTCATGTTGAAAACCTTCACTCAACATGGATGTTCTTATCTGTCTTGCCCTCTGAAGATATTTCATGCCTGTGTCTAGCACTGACCCTTTCAACCCCTCGTTTTCTGCATCTGGGGCCCTTCCTCCCACAGGGTGGCTCATGATGGGAGGTGATACTGTGTCCTCCATGCATCTGACGAAGTGGGTCTTTGCCCACAAAAGCTTATGCTCCAATAAATCTATTAGTCTATAAGGTGCCCCAGGATTTCTGGTTGTTTATGCAGATTCAGACTTACACGGCTAGCCCTCTGATACCTCTCACCATGTCCCTCTTACATTTGAGACGCCTGCCTGCTAGCTTGCTCACTTCCCTCGTGCGTGCTAACCCTGAGCAGAAGCCAAGTATGTGCCCACCAAAACCTGGCACCGATGCACCCTGCAGAATGCCAGCTGGAGGAGGGAAGCTGGTTAAGGAAACAACAAAACAAATGGGGTTTGCAGTTTATGGAAAGATCGTTATAACGAAACCGGTTCACACTCCCTGCCAGCTGACATCCAGGGACAGATGATTTCTTCTCTATTGGAAGCTCAGATTAGGACATCTCCTAGTCAACACTAGCTTGTTCATCAGCTTGCCTTTCCAAAGGTACCCCAGATCCAGCCTGTCCTCATAGAACAGTGACGGGCAACCTAACCTAGTGAGTGGCCTTCCTTCATCTCAATGGGCCGCAAGATTGTCAGAACTGAGACAGTTTCCAGGCTAGGATAGTTTTGCTCACTGTGCTTGTGTACGTAGAGTTTGCGGGGGGCGCCGATCGAACTGTATTGGATGGGACACAGAGGGGGCACACGGCTCTCCCCATCACTGTTGTGTGCAGTCAGCACACGCCTCGCTTTAGGTGCATGTCACTGTAGTAACACCGGTAGGAAAAAAACGACGCAGCGAGAAACCAGGGAAATCTGGTGGGCAAGGGTAAACAAAGCGTCTTGTGGGCCACACGCAGAACCTCGATGTGCGGCACGTTTTTTGCAGCCCGCAGGGTGCTCCCCGCTGTCATCAGTTAGTAGCAGTCCTTTTTACTATAGTAGTGCTTCACGAACAACCAAGATCGGGGTGCCGTTGTGCTAAACACTGAGGGTACGTCTAGACTACATGCTTCCGTCGACGGAGGCATGTAGATTAGCCAGATCGGCAGAGCGGGCCAGCCATTTAAATTTAAATGGCTGGCCCGCTCTGCCGATCTGGCTAATCTACATGCCTCCGTCGACGGAGGCATGTAGATTAGCCAGATCGGCAGAGCGGGCCAGCCATTTAAATTTAAATGGCTGGCCCGCTCTGCCGATCTGGCTAATCTACATGCCTCCGTCGACGGAGGCATGTAGATTAGCCAGATCGGCAGAGCGGGCCAGCCATTTAAATTTAAATGGCTGGCCCGCTCTGCCGATCTGGCTAATCTACATGCCTCCGTCGACGGAGGCATGTAGATTAGCCAGATCGGCAGAGCGGGCCAGCCATTTAAATTTAAATGGCTGGCCCGCTCTGCCGATCTGGCTAATCTACATGCCTCCGTCGACGGAGGCATGTAGTCTAGACACACCCTGAGTGCACACGAAGGGGTACAGAGAGGTGTTTTGAAAGCTCACACTGCATACTGGGGTAGAGAACCTGAGGCCCGAGGGCCAGATGCAGCCCCCCCTCCCCTGCCTGGATCTGGCCCCTTAGTCTCAGGGCTCCCACGCCCAGCATTGGGGAGTCTGCACCTATTGTGGGACCGGAACACACAAAAATCTAGCCAGGGCCCCGTTATGCTCTGGTGTGTGAGAGGATGTGGGGAGGGTCTTTCTCTTTCTCAGTCAGGGGCCACGACGGTGAGGAATTTGGGGGAGGGGGTGGGCTTCTCACTTGTGTGCGGCTCCCGACTGATTTTTCTCTGGGTCAGCGGCACCTGACCCAAAACACGTTCTCCATCCCTACTCTAAACCAACAGGACAGACACAGGTACAACTAGAACAGGGCAAAGAATAGAAATTCTGTCTCATAGAGGCGCTTGTGTGATTTGGTTTTTTGTTCTGATTAGACATGAAACCCCCACATTTCAAAATTCTCCTTGACAGAATTTTAAAAAACAAAAAACGCCTTGGATTGATTCAGGTACATCTCAACAGTTTGCCTTGACTTTCACTCTTTCAGTCCATATTGCGTTATCATACCGATCAGCCACAGTTTAAAAAAATCCCAAATCAGCGGGTTGTACTCGGAGAATGACACAACGGAGAGCCTGCCATTGTTAGAACGGCTTCCCCTCCTTTGGCGCTGAAATGCCATGTTGGCGAAATTGACAGAATTCCATTCAGTCCTTCAATTTGGAAAACGGGTCTGTCAAAACGGTTCTGCTCATCTCTATATACCACAATCCAGCAGAGTGATCCCGGTGATCTCCACGGCCTGACAGCCATGGTGCTGGTGCCATGTGTTTTGAGGGGGTGGGAGTTTAATTAGGGAGGGATTAGCCAAACAGAAAGGCATGGGACCGAATATGGGGAAGGGGACAGAGATAGTTGAGGAAGGAGGATAGGGAGGATGGTCTCAGAAGCATTGAGTCTGCAGTGAAAAGATTGTGCACTGAGTTTTTACAGAGAGAGCCAGGCTTACAGGACAAGACTGTTAAAGGGACAGAGGGGTTTAATTCAGCATGCTGTTAAAGCCAAGGACACCTTAAAAGGAATGGCCTGCTTAACAGATCACAGTGTCAAAGCAGCTCTCCCTGCTTTAACCACTCAAGAAAAATATCTTGGAATCATGGTGGAAAGTACACAGTCAACCTGTGGAACTCCTTGCCGGAGGAGGTGGTGAAGACCAGGACTTTACATGGGTTCAAAAGAGAATTAGATAAATTCATGGAAGTTAGGTCTATCAATGGCTATTAGCCAGGATGGGTAGGAATGGTGTCCCTAGCTGTGTGTCAGAGGCTGGAAATGGATGACAGGGGAGGGATCACGTGAGGATTACCTGTTCTGTTCACTCCCTCATTGGCCATGTTGGCAGACAGGACACTGGGCTAGGACCTTTGGTCTGACCCAGCCTGACCGTTCTTATGTGCTGTTAAAGAGAAAGAGCTGATAAAGGAAAAATGTTTCCGAAAGGCCTGTAGTGCTACCAACCGGCTATCACTGTTAACAGGCTAGAGGAGATTAAGGAAGCAACATGGTAAAGTAGTCAGGGGTTCCAGTTGGGGGGGACTAAAGGGATCTGTTAACTGCACCCCGATATTTGAACCTTTGAATTGGAGGTCTCCTTAAAGTGCATGCCCCATCCCCAGACACAGCTCTTGGCTGCAAGAGATCTTGTCCGGTTCCAGCTTTGCCTTTGGGGCAGGGAGTTTGTTTATAAACTGAGAAAGGCAGGGGGATTAAGATAACAATGGGCTTGTCATTCAAGTAATTAAAGGCTCTGTAGATGATCCTGAAAACACTGCTAGGGACTCCTCTGAAAAGAAAGAAACAAAGGGTAGTAATAAATAGCGGTGTGCTCCAGAGATCTGCATTAAGACCGGTGATGTTCAACTGATTTATACATGAGCTGGAAACGGGGGTAAAGAGTGAGATGGTTATATCTGCAGATGATTCAAATAGTTAAATCCAAAGCTGACCACAAAGGATCTCACAAAACTGGGGGATTGGGCAGCACAAGGGCAGATGGAATTGAAAGTGTTGATAAATGCAAAGTTATGCACATGGAAAAATGTAATCCCAGCTGTACATAAAAAATGACGGGGTCTAAATTAGCTGTTATCACTCAAGAAAGAGATCTTGGAATGATTGTGGCTAGTTCCCTGAAAACATCTGCTCAGTGTGCCATGGCAAAAAGCTAACCAAACGTTGGGAATCATTAGGAAAGGAATAGATAACAACACAGAAAATATCATCTTGCCTCGATATAAAATCATAGTATGCCCCACGTCTCGAATATTACATGCAGATCTGGTCGCCCCCAGCTAAAAAGGTGTGTTGAATTGTAAAAGGTACAGAGAAGGGCAACAGACATTATTAAGGGTAATAATCTGAGGAGAGACTAAAAAGACGGGGACTTTTCAGTCTGGAAAAGAACTGACTGAAGGGCAGGGGATGTGTTAGAGGTTTAGAAAATCATGAATGGCATGGAAAATTGGTTAAGGAAATGTTATTTAATCCTTTCCTAACATTGCCCAAGAAAGTCACCCAATGAAACGTAAGGGCGGCAGATTTAAAACAAACAAAAGAAATGACATTATAAGTACCCCCAGTACCTACATTTTTCAGACACACACATTTTTTTTCTACCATTGCAACACATTTGTTTAAACAATTTAATCGTAGCCAGGCGGGCAATGACATTTTTGGGTGTAAAACGTACAAAAATAATAAAACGCTGCAAAACTTCAAACAAAAATTCAGTTTTCTCCACATTTCAGTTGTGTTGACGTACCCCCCAGAC